TATATATATTTTTTTTGTAAAACGTACAACTTGTGAACGAGAAATAGCTGGTTGTGATAATAAATGCTGCATAACAGACTGGCCCTGTTGTGGCGTACTGGATGTAACGCCCGCGGTAAGTGAACGAGGCATGCGGGTAGCATGGACGATTTGTTGTGGCTGCTGCTGGATCTGATGGTGCGGATGGTTCTGCATCACATGTTGTGCAGCGACTGTCGTAGGCTGAGCGGTGTTAACTGTTTGTCCATTCCCTACAGGATGTGCGACTAACTGCGACTGCGAAACTTGCACTTGCGACAAATTCTGGTTGCTCCCCGATGGTTGCGTTTGTGGTCGACAAAAATTTGGCACTACAGCTATAACTGTTCCTGCACTAGTTTGAACATGCTGCACTTGAGCCTGCACAAACCATTGTCCGTTAACAGCTTGCACACAGCCGGGAGGATGCTGCTGAGGTTGAACAACCGCTCCTGAATACGCATCAAACTTGGAAAAAAAGTTTAGGAATGGAACTACTTTGGAAAGAGAACTTATGCTCATGACACCAACTGCTAACACATTTGGAAAGATGAAACTAGTCAAGATCTGTGAGATTTAAATTGGTGGAAAAAAAGATTGGTACACTACAAAAGAGAAAATCCAGTTTCCACTGAAATTATAAACCAAATACATACTTTTCTCCCTTTGTTCGAGTTGTACAAAGGATGCGAAATCTCCATTTTGATGGAGACCTGAAACGGATGGTTGGGTAAACTGTAATTCTGCTGGTTTAGTAATTGGAGAGCTGGAGGGTATTGACAGGACGCTCAAATCTGGATTTAGTTCATATTCGACACTAGTAAGCTCGGATGACTGGACCTGTGGTGGAGGCTGCAAAATGGGCTGCGACGGACCAGGAGGTACTGAAGGGATACGGCTATTACTTAAAGTGATGAAAGTTTGTTGCTCCGTAGACACTGGGGACAGTTTCGGTGGAGGCTCGGAAGGGTAAGGTTCGCGGGTCGGGATATGGCTCAGTGGCGATGGACAGGACCGCGTCGACACAGTAAGACCAAAATCGGCTGTTCCACTTGTAGGAGGACTATTACATTTCAATGTTTCATCTTCTAGGCCCAGTTGCAGCCATTCATCTTCATAATGCCTGTAAAATGAATGTCGTCTGACATGAGGAATGTACCTAAAAGAATCATTTAATATTAGCATCAAGAATGAATGCAAAACTATCATTCTCCTAGAAATAGTGAAGTTTATCTAAGACAATTCGACGATATATATTTATCTCAGATAAGAAAACAGGCAATAGCTAAACTCGTTAATTGAAAAAAAGCATTCCAAAGTTGAACATTTCATGACATACATCGTGCTGCTAATAAATACTTTGCGGATGAACATTTCGTCCGCAATATACAAAATCATAAATCCAAAAAATCCGACTATAATTACGGAAAAGCAACTCACTCAGAAAGATCATCAAAAGGACGAAACCCGCTCGAAGACATCATATTCCTATGAATAGCGTAATGAATCACTCTTTTCTTCACACATTTTCACTAAAGAAAATGAGTATTAAAAACAGTGGTAATGAAGTTAATTTCCACAACGATCCGTCGAGGCGAAAAAGGTCAAGTCATCGAAAATTCAAGTAATGTGAGTTCCTGAAAATTAATTGGACTATAAGAAGACTATCTTATTGTCGATTTCTTTCTTGACATTGCAGTTCCGAAGACCCTAAAACACATTGTCCACCACGGTACGTAATTCATTACTGCAGTATGAAGATCAAAAAATCTGCTCAGTAAAAAGGAGACGCTAATGATTTCCATTAAAATTAGAGAGTTCGATGTTAGGCAATTGTTTTGGGGGAATTTCAACTAATTATAGAACACTAGTATCTAAATAGCGACAAAATGCAAGGGAACACTAAAAACATATCAATCACATTGAAAGGGTGGTAAACACAGAGATACTTATTTGAACGAAAAAGGGACACGACAAACCACTAAGGCATGAGGAAGATTACAGTTTTCAGTAACGCTCTCAATCAGGTAAATGCAGATTACTTACAATGAATATGATTCGCTTTCTTAGAATCCAGTACAGAAAAAATTGGGGGAGATAGATGCTAACATCAGCCTATCGCATCACAATAAGTCGAAGCTACCAAACATTTGTGCTCCGACAGTAGGGAGTATCAATGACAGTGTTCCGACAGTTCCGACATATGCTCATTCTTAATTCCTGGTTGTTAAATTCACTCGACAAAAAAACCTAAAAAAGAAAATGACTCGACGTGATCCTCCGTTATCACATCATTTATGTCCCTTTTGAACCTTCCCCTCCCTCATGCTGTTCATCTCACAAGCACCAACCGCATAGTAGCGCAAGAGATTGTATGATTTTTATTATACTGGAGATTTTGAAATATTTTGAAAAATCTCCACCAACCGCTTCGAAATATAGAATATATTCTAACAAGTTTTGCAAAAATTATACTCACTGTTTACCTTTATTATTTACTCCACAAATCTTAGGGATCTCCGCAGATCCCCATCACTTTCGATGTAAACCGAAAAAATTTCAGTCCCACAATACATTCGAAGATTTCGACGTTGCTTTAAGAAATGCATTCATCAACGTAAACTTCTGCTGAAGACAGAGTGGCAAACAATTAAATGATTGTTTTAGCGCGGATCGTATGCATTTCTTTGGACAAATGACAGTTCATAAAAGCGGAATATTAATTCAAAAAGTTACATTTCAAAGTGAAAAAATATATTCCAACATTTCGCTCAATGTTTCTAGAATGCCATTTGTTTTAAATAAGCAGTAATTAATTAAGAGAAGAGGTTTACTTAGATAGTACAAAATTATGTGTCCCGAACAGTGCACCAAGGAATTCACTATCTCAGCGTTCCACATATGCGACATGATAAATTAAGGCATTTATTCTTAACTGCATCTACATAAAGACTTCGAAAACGATATCCAGAATACCTGAAAAAATATTCCGCACAAATCATCATCATGTACTCCATCCCGTGTGAACTTCATTTACAGCAAGGGACAAAGTTATGATTCCGTTTCACAGTTATACACATCAGAGACAACCTAAATGTTAATATAGGATGAAACATAAGGCAGGTTAGATAAGAGCTGATGGTAAGCAACAACTGTTGAACAATCAAGCTGTGCATCAGCAACGAAGCGTCCAGAAATACTAGTTAATAGGGAGAAGTGTACATATCAGTGAATGCATTAGATCTGTCAACCGCAAGCTGAAAGGTCACAGTGCACCTGTCTGTTCGAGCACAGGGAAACCAGGGAGTAGTGACACATGGAAAATAACAACTACTCTGCTAATGGAGAGCCTGGACAACAGTCACAAAACTATCCCTTTAATTAACCGAAATCTTGTTAACATCCAAACGACGCAACGCGTTCGTGACGCGCATCGAGACACTTTCTGGCATGTCGCCAAGCAACCAACCTCACTCAATCGCTCCCACTCTGTCCACTCTATTCAAATCATATGTAAATCTTGTGTATTGCAGCACTGCGCTTGACAATTATGAGCGGCCGTATGTGCTTGCCACTGTACATGCCATCAATTAATTAATGGTTCCAGTAATGAGATGTGTTCGGCAACCTAGTTTGATGCATAAAATTAGCTCCTTGACGAGACCTCATCAGTACACACTAGCCAGTTCGAAATGGTCCTATTTTGTCATGTGTCCAGCCGTTGAAACCTGAATAGGAACACGTTAAGTGGGACAATCTACAAGCCAGAGTGATAAGACCTGTGTGCAGCAGCATCCTCATGTGTCACGATGGAAGAATGACCGCTTAGAATAAAAAATTGGTACATCTGCATGGTCGACCTTAAATAAACAAGTTCCTAACGCGAGGCTATCGGAAAACCTGACGAATTTTATAGCACGTTAGAACAATCAAAGTATGTGTATCACAAATTTCTATCATAAATGTTATCTTATTTGGATCGTTTTTCCCATAAGCGATTCATTACACAAAAATTAAAATTATTTTTCCAACGTACTATGCTTATGCACATTAATGGATATATTGTAAAAGTATCTAATATGATAACCACGCCTATATCCAATGGCACATGTTTAGCCTTCTGTTAAACATCGCGTCCCTTTGTCTAGGAATTAATCTTTTATGTAATGTATTAGTTTTGTAAACCACAACCATATTTTTTAATCAGTTTTTTATTCAGGCTCCGATGATCGACGGTCTCCTCAATTTCCGTTCCAATTGTCTTCAATCATCTCCAGTTCAACACAAAACTTTCCCCTAATAACGAACTCATTCATAACTATTTTTGTAATTTCTGCATTTCTTAATAAACTGTTACCGTCATCAATAAACCTTTATTAACCACCTTGCATCTGTGTCAGCCAACAGAAACTTCATCATCAGTCTCTTCAAAATAGATATTTCTTCACGACAGCGGTAGGATTTAAAGACGGACATAACAATGGAGTGATAACGCTGAATATCCGTGTTCCAATATTTTTGAATAACTTTCCGGAAGTTCCTTCCACTTAGTTCCACCGTAATGTACTGCTCAACTATACCAGCACAAGAACTTATATTCTGGGGGACTACCATGTTGATCCGGAAATAGTGATGTAAATTCCAAATATTTCAACTTTAATTTCCACACACTCTTCCAAACTTCCTAACAATCTTGTGGATGGCAGTCAGTTGCCTGTTGCGTTACATAGTTGAAAACTGCTCACAGGCTTTTGATTGAGCACAGAAGTATCTAAGACGAAAACGTAAATGTCGTCAGTTTGCATCGTCACAAGCTGTACCGACATGGTACAACGTCTACAAATGATAAAACTGCTATACTTCTCACTACGCTGCTGCTTCTCACGAAATAGCATTTTAGCATCCAGACGATTTATCCTACGAAGTCGCAGGTAATCCTAGATTTAATACATAAAATAAGCACCGATGAAAATAAAGTAAGTTTCCACAAAGTATTCACTTCCAATATATTTTTAAGAAATGAAATGTTTTGCAATGACATAAGCTTTGTGTGCTGGATAAAGATAAAATATGACTCCAGAATCAACCTGATTAAAAATATTTCCTTTCTGCTATGCCTGCTTTGCACTCCTTTTTTATTCTTGATTTTATCAATACTTCCACAATGTGATGTCACAGAAAATAATCTATATGTACCTGAAAGAATCTACACATATTTCTTTTTACAAGTACATTTTAACTGATAAATGGAACCAAATGTCCAATGTCAAAAGTGATACTGCAAGGCCTAATTTATACAAATCTAAGTGCGGGTCTACGGGTTCATTGTGTTTTATGCCATCATAAATCAAAATAAACGAGAAAAAAGGTTCCCGTTAAGGACTGCGAAGCAAAAATAGACAGACAGCTGCCGAAACATTCATGTGCAACATATATTATGCATAACATACAAATTAAATGGGAATTCCATTAAAATCAGTTTGAAAACATATGAGAAAAAATCCAGAGAAAGTATCAAATACTTCTATTCCTTGGAAAAGTACTTGCTTTCAATGGCAAAAAGCTGCAAACAATTGTGTGAAGAAATAATGAAATGAAAGGAAATCGGTCTGCTATATGGGGGTAGGCGTTGTTGCTGTATCTGCATCGCCTACAAATTCTACATATGTAAACGGGAAAGTACCTTTCTTACCATTCAAGATCCCTTCGCAAATACCGGACGGATGTAGCTTGGTTACTCTCAGCAAATCACCTTTCTACAACGAGGACTAGTTGAACTCACAAATATCGATTTCATTTAAAATATAAGTTTCAAAATTTAACGGAGAAAATGGAACTTATTACATTTGAGGTAGATTTCCTGCAATACTGTACAAAAAGGGTATCGGTGGCCGTGCGAATACCAAGAATGGCAACGAAAAGAGTTACCAAAAAAAGTTTATTTTATCCTAACAGTTAAAGTATTTCGCCCAACCACTTCTGACAAAGTTATTAATAATTTCAGGGGAAAAAGGAATTAAAGTATTTCGCCCAATCACTTCTGACAAAGTTATTAGTAATTTTAGGGGAAAAAGGAACCTTCAGACGTAGCGCTTCCGTATCGTATACATTTGGTCGTCTATCTAAGATAACACGTGCCAGTGTCGGTATATGTGGCTGTAATGAAACATGTTCATGCGAACCACTGACGTCAATGATCACAATTCTTACATTTGTATAATATTTATACGAAGTAAAGCTTCAAATAAATTTTGGTTGCGCACTAACCGTTTCAGAAAGTTGTGTACTGTTCAACATATCATCATTGATATCACTAAGAACAGATGCACCGCTTAAACGATTTTCTGATGAAACCGAAGAATCAGGACTGTCTCTTTGCATTAGAACTTCATTGAATTGTGCCTGGAAGTAGAAAACATTAAGGATGGCCAAACATTACTTGCATAATGGAAGTTGAAATTGCATATAAAAAAATCGACATACTACCGAAGCAACTTATACGTAAAAACGCAACTGTAAGTCTCACCAAGTAATTTCCTGGCACAAGACCAACATTACCCAAAGCATTACGAGCTTCCCACCATTCTTCCTGTGGTTTTTCAATTATATCAAGAATTTCATTTTTCTCAAACGAGAGATCCGTTGGTTCTTGTCCTTCAAATGAGTATAAAGCAATCATCTGAAATAACTGCACATGAAAGAGAAAAGAGAACGGAATTACATAATAGGACGAAGCAAGGAAAACATATTTCAATTCTGCCCACTCATTATATATTCTTTATCCATTACAACTCGCTACAACTTTGAGCAAAATCCAGAAAAAGTTCATATGCTAGCCAAAAAAAAGAGAGGAAAGCAGGATAAAATCATACGCAGTACGGATAAGTAATAATAGTACTAAAGGAATTTTATTCAAAACTTGACCTGACAACAAAAACCGCAAGAAAAAAAAACGAAGGATATAACAAATGAAAAAAAGGAAGAAACGTACCCTGTTAATTGCGGCTTTTCTGAGTGGACATACTAAACTTACATTTGCCAAAATCCTCATTTTGAAATGGTTGAGCAAAGCAGGAATGTCAAGAAAGTACTGGTCAGCTATCTGGAGTGCCATTACAAATTGTTAACAATATAAAAAACCCAATTTTGAGAAAATTTAGGAATTATTAAGGAAAATTTTAGGAGAGACCCAATTTACGGATTATTTTAATAAGATCTATAATTTTTCGAGCGGATTGTCTACTTACTCTCACATTTGTTTTGCCATTATCCGATTCAACGGGCTCAATGAGATAATGTCGAACCTGCTGATCACCAGACAGTTCTTCTCTACAACAATGAAATCTGTATAACATTATGGACTGAAGTGAGAGTAGAATTTCGACCAGGTGACTGAAAAAGTATTTAAAATGAATGGAAAGTTCCATACTCAGCCAAGTAAAAATAAATTACATTATTTTACTACCTGACGCTTAAGGCATAGCTTCCGGGAGTAGTAGAATCTCGGATAAGGAATGTACCCAGATCAGAATTGGGCTGACATAGTAGCCGTGTTGCTTCTTCTCGATCAACGTGGAAATAGAAATTCTTCCAGGAGTAAGGATCAAATGAGGATGACGACGACTCTCTCATCCCTGAAATACTCACCACCACTTTCCCGTCTTTCCCGCCTATCACACACCTTTCGGTGAAATTGACGGCCCGTAACTGGAGACATTATGCAAATTAGTGTGGGCACTGTGGATTGTTCAAGCTTGTTCAGTTCGTGTGAGTTCTCGGAGTTTCAATCAGGATGGAGTATATTCAAATAGAAAGCTTAGAATGTGGACCGGGTGGCAATTCAATGAATTTCGTAACGGCATATGAAGGATGTAGCTGCATGGGATCATGCACAGCAATTACCGGCTGCACCTGTCTTCTCTACAAACAAGCAAGTCTTATTCACTTTACTATATTATTATAGCGGTACATCTGTCCTCCACGTTCTTTGTCTGAATTTGCGAACTCTTTTACCAGTTATTCTTGAAATCTTAGAAGTTATTGGAATTTAACTGAACCCATTTCTAATACTTTAAAAAATCTGAAGAAAAAAAAGTACTTTATTTTTACTTCACACTTTAATCTTCCCATATGCAGCTCATCTCGCTTCAACTAAAAAAAAAAAAAAAAAACCAATTAACATTCGGCATGTATTCTTACGTCTTGTTTAAGAATTACATTGGATGATTGATTTACTGCAAAGTTTTCAGGATATATTTATGGATCAGAATTCCATTAAAAATGTCGACAACAGTTTGCCAATTCTGGAGTGTTCTGCTGAATGTTCTTGCTCGCTCTTTCCACATAAGTGTAAAAACAGATGCGTGCAGTTGGGCCCTTCACTTCCTCTCAAGGCTAACCTTTTTGTTACAGATCCCAAGAAATTTCCACCATTTGTTGAAATAAAGTTTTGCTTAATTTCAGGTTTTTGATGCTGGTGAAAAAGGTTATGGTTTGCATTGTAAAGAGCTGATAAAAAAGGTCGCTTCGTTATTGAATATATTGGAGAAGTAATTGGATCTGACGAAGTGGAGAAGCGCCAATCCGACACAAATTATGTTCTCACGATTAAAGAAGTCTTCCGAGGTGGTTGGTTTCCTATTATGATGACCCAATAATTTCTCGTAAAAACTTCTTTGCTTGTTTGCCAGCCTTTCTACTCGTCCTTGCGCTCTACTGTTGATGTTAATTGTTCTAATTTAAAAGGAAAAGAAAAGACTTCAGCTTCGGTTTTCTCCTTTTCTCATGAATTTATCCTCGACATTCTTGCGGTTGTTTCTCTTAACAACTACTCCATTTATTTTAATAATAAGACTGACTCGTTGTATTAATTAATGAATGAATTTAGATCACACTGAAGTAACGCATATTGATCCATCTCTGCGTGGGAATCAGTCACGATTTATAAATCACGGCTGTAATCCTAACTTGATAATGATCCTTGTGAGATACGGTACTCCGCAGATACACGTTGGACTATTTGCGCTTCGTGATATACCTGCTTATGAAGAGCTGACCTACGATTATGGTGCCAATACCTCGGAATTTTGTCTGAAGAAATGTTTGTGTGGCAGTACGAGTTGCCGGTTGTTTCTTCCTGCTTCTGTTTCATAGCATATCACCTGTTTCGTCATGCATCATTTCCTTCAGTAATTAGTTTTTAAATTCACCCACTTTCACTTGATATCGATCACCATTAAATAAATTGTAGCATAATTAGGATTACGCAGCTTCATTTCAAGTTTAATTGCGCTTTTGTTATGTTTCAAAACAGTGGGAAGTTTCTTTTCTGCACACAGTGATGGGTGGTTCTTATCGAAAGCACCACCAGAGAAGTATAAAAGTTATGGAGATGGGTTAAAAAATTAGAGTAATATTTTAGAATTTTTAATCTTTATTTTTACCATCCATATTGATTGCGTTTGTGTGACACAAAGATTAAGAGAGTTGGGATTGATGACATTTACCAAAATGCAGCACCTCGAATTTTGATTTATTTCATTAAAAAAAGAACATGTTTCCCCGTTATTGGACTTTTTATTTGTTTTCAATGTATTTTATTCAAAAAATATTTTTGAAACAGAACGAAATGATTTCATACTGTTAATCAGTTTCTCACTACAATTTTTGCACAAGCGAATGGCATGTTTGTCAGCTGTCATATTTATAAAGCGCCAAATTGTGTCTTCAGATTTATGATTTTATAAACGCTGACAGAAACAGGTCGCAGGAGAGCTGCAATAAAATTCAGTCCTCCGGAAGTCCGCAATACGTGAAAGCATATATTGCCGAACTTTTCATGGGGATACCTATTAGTTTCTAATGGGTTTTTTTTGTGGTGAGTAATGATGGCTAGCTAGGTTCTCGAGTTCCAAAATTAGGATACTTAGTTTTCGATTTCCAAAATCAAGATGCTGAGTTCTCAAATTTATATGAGCTTGCAAAGAAAAGTCACAACTGCAGTTAGCATGAGAAACACATTTAATCAGTGAAGCAATCCTAAAATTCTGTCTGTCTTTTTTTGAATTAGTTCTTCAGCTCATTACCAATGTTACCGTTGTTTGGAATTTGTTATTCTCCCTGTGTCCTTGATCAGGAAAGAAAAAAGGCAGTAACAAAGTGGAAAAAACCGCGTGGGGCAGTTGGAAGGCACGGGAATTACAAAAAGTCACGATAACGGACAACATAGTTTGAGCACTGATCTTTGTAATGCAATACATTGTAACCTATAATCCGTACAATGTGTTGTATAGTCCAGTTTTTGCCCACAAAACGTCGTAGAATTTAATACTGACAACGGAACTTTACCAATCAATATAAGCAATTTTTCAATTTGAATAAAGAAATTGAAAATATGCTTGCAAGAAGGAAATTTCAAGCTGAAAAACAACCTGTTAATTTTATGATTCGTATAGAATGAGATGTATGGTTGGGGGGACTCATTTAACGTGATAAAAAGAAATGCGAAAAATATGTTAATTAGTACAAATGTGGGACGAAGATTATTCGGTAGAAAATTATAGCCCTTCTCTCATCAACTATTTTTTTCTACAACTAACTGCGCGAGAAATAATGATGATATCAACTTGCAGTGACTACGCCTGACACCCAGAAATTAGCTTTTTAGAAGCCCATCCTATATAAATGCTGCAACAGTGGACTTACCAAATTATAAATTCCAGCGCAGGAGTCCTCGTATTTAGTCCTTCCGTTGATTTCATTTACTAACATAAAGAATTTTTCAAGTAATGATTTGCTACAAGTTTCAAATGTCTATCTAGCATAAAATCTTGAGGAGTTTTTAAAAATTCAACTTCAGTTTTCCGAAAAAATATGAGAAGCCTGCTACATTGCTGTACGGTATACAACAGTGGTATTCGCTGGGTTTTTGAACAGTTTCAGAGAAAAGTGATGTAATATGAAAATTCGAATTATTCGAATGCTGATCTGAAATGTCGGAGTTATGAGAAGGTGAAAAGAAATAAAAGCTTTGCCTTACACAGATAATTGTTTCAGTAGCATCAACAATGAAGTTCTTGATGAAATTGTTCGTAGTTTTACTGGTCACTGTGGACATAATCATGGGTGAAGCGAAATTAGAAACGATCTCCGCTGCACCACTCTCTTCATCGACATCCGTTTTGAATGTGAATGCTCCACCAATACCTGTTGAAATTACTCCCATACCTGCTGATGACTTTAGTCCAAGATTTGATGGTTTGAATTCAAAGATTCTACCTTGATATGCTTTAAAATCATTTTTATATCGAAAAAAAATAGTTTTTAATTCTATGGGAATGTCTGTGAAGTCTATTTTATATGGCATTTTAGCGATCATTCCCTTAATTTCACAAGAACGGTGCGTGCTTCAATTTCAGTAGTACCTTTTATATCGTTTTCCAGTTTGTATGAAATTAAATTTCTCCTATCGCAGGGACTTGTCATGTTGGGAGTGCCATCGGGGTTCCTTACAAATATTTTTAACTTTCATACCCGTATGTAGCTCCACTCTTTTTTTCTATCTTAACTCATGTTTCACGCAGACAAATTTATTTCTATATTGCAGATCATAGATCATATTGTTCTTCGGAACAAGAAGTTTGGGGAAAGTAATGCGAAGGAGCAAAAGAGACCTTCTATTTATAATAAACTAATAATATGCAATGGTGCTGGGATCCATGACTTCCAATTATGCAAATTTTAGCAATCAGATCTGTCACTTATTATTATTGTAGATTATGTCAATCCAAGTTCCTTTTGTTCAGAATTTAGACGTATCGATACAAACGGTGATCAGAAAATTACCTTTGCGGAATTCATATTAGCCGACCGGCCATATATTGAAGATAAATCGCGATTGTATCACAAGCAAGATTTAAATGGTATTTGTTTCTGAAATATCTCTACCCGAGATTTTTTCCTTTCTGGTTGAAGAATGAAAAAATTTGAAGGTTCTTTCCCATGAAAATTCTTTCCGTTGAAGCGAATCTTACATCAGAAAGACTACTGTTGATATTGCCTACTACTCTTAAGTTTTAATTATCCGAATGTAAAATAATTCACTTTAATATCGATATCATTTCTTATTTGGCTGGATCTCAGGTGATGGTGTTGTGAGCAAAAATGAATTCGTCTCGTATTATCGGAAAAAAGAAGAGGAGCGTCGATTGAGAGAACAACAAGCGGAAAATTTTTTCAAACATTTGGTGGGTTTTGCAAAAAAATTTCTTTTGATATTGAAAACACTATTTTGATGATTAATTATATGATTTGTGCAAAATATCGAAATTAAGCATAATAAATCCAATTTTTCTTTCATTTAAGAAAATAATGGATGAATCGAACGTCTTTGCAGGAAGTGCCGTTCACTCAACCGTTCGGTTTTGGATTCCCGCAGAATCCATTTTTCCCATCAAATAGTCGGCCTATTAAAGATACGGTGCACAATGCTTCTTCGCTCGCAGTGCCATCAGCTAAAGAAATCAGGAATGGGACTTTGCAGTTTTCATATCGATAATTTGTTTGTAAAATTTACTTCCGATTTATTATATTGTTGTGCATTATTATGACATTGTTTCCTTGTAGTTATTCAATGTTCGATTAATTCATTTATAAAGACCATTGACTTTCAGTCCTTGCTTTTTCTTTTAACTAATCTTCTAGTTCCTCAATTTTTACACGAAAGATATATATTCTTTTGGATGGAAAATATCAATTTTTATTACAGATAAGATGACAAGGTAATTTTCCCTGAGACGGTGATTCCATTCCATAGCTTATGTCTGTCGTTATAAATTAGCAGTGCTCATGACAAACTCAGAAAGTATTTGAAAGTTGTAATTTATAATAAAATGAAGTTATCTTGAAAAGTTAACATTAACCGAAGGT